CTGTGTATGTTTGCTTGGTTGCCATTATCTTCTCTTTCTTTTAGTATTACCAAGCTGTGTTGTGAAAACTGATGCTGAGGAGCTGAAGTTCTTCACCAGAATGGTACAGATGTAATAAGACCAAATATTAGTGTCAGCCTCACATTGACTTTCTGGTCTGTGAGGTACAAGAGGCTGTTGATAATCAGGAGATTTTCCACTCACTGGTATGGCTGGAGATACAAAGCCCAGTCACCTTGCCACTGCCTGCAATTAAAAGATCCCTTTCATTAATGTAACAGTTTTGAGCTTCCTTGGAACAGCGCTCCGACACGGCTTTGGCTGCAGAGATCCACAGTAAGACCTGGCTGCTCCTCCCATTGCTGTGACTCACACTAGTGCAGTGAGCAGTGGTGGGTTTGCACAGTTGCACAGTGTGGTCAGGACTCCTCCAGGACCCTCCAGAAAGTGGTATTGGTAGCTCCACACAGTGATGCTTTTCCAGATAAGACTTAGAGCCCGCAGCACGTGAAGACGTATTTTGGAAAAGCAGTAGCCTTATCCTTCATATCCTGGCTAGAATACAGGATGGAAAATCTTAAACTGAGTACATTTCTTCTGCAGTTTCAGTGGGATGTAAAAGATAGCTGATACCCTGCTTGCGTAAAGCTTCTGATGAAGAAGGCCAGTAGGGGCTGCATTTCAGCATGGATGACATAGCTCCTGTAGACTAAATGCACTGCGTGTGGCACATGGTGACCCTCCAGAAGAATGGTACACCGCTGCTGAGGAACACACACAAATGTGCAGGCGCATCTGCCCATGCCTGTCCTGCAGAGTGAGCCACTAGGACCATTTTGAATGGTTTGTAATATGGGGCTTTTGATGGCGTCTATCAGCTATCTTTCGGAGCAGTTACAAAGGTGACTCCATTTCACAAAAAAGAACGCTTGATGCCTGTGAAAGTGGGCCTCTTACTCAAGGCCACCAGTGATCAAGAGTTGGCCATCAGGAACTGAGGCTATGCTCTCACCAGCAGGCAGCCTCGCCTCCCTCAGATGGGAGCTTTGCTCACCGCACAGTCAGACCCAGCGGGGCATAGGAGATTCAAGGTCCTCCTCCCCAAGTGAGAAAGACCTGGATGGTCTCACACAGAAAAGATGCTCAGTGAGTTACTGTTATTCATACAGGCATGAACGTTAGCAGCCTTGCTGGAAGCCTGATTTGGCTCTCTTTGCATTAGACCTTTCAGAAAGCATCTCACTGCCTCTCTGCAGGTGGGCCTGGCACTGGCTGGTCCTTGTGTCCTTCCATCCCTTCCTTTCAGCTTTGTCACACTGATTGCTAAAGAGCTCTGGTTCTTTAACCCAGTGGCTCACCCAGAGTGACACGCAGGGGGCATCAGTTTGACAAGGAGATACAGCTATAGAACAGTACAGGCTAGCACAGAACTGAAACTGGGGTCATGTAGCTCCAAGCAGGGAAAATGATGCATTTTCTATCTCTGACACTTTCACCGAAGGCCCACAGAGTGTTTGCATATGCCTGCAAAGGAGAGGATGTTTGTCATCCACACAAGACAGGCAGCGAGACGAAGACAAGCTCTCCAAAACCTGTCAAAGCCAGGGGAAAGGCTGGATCCCTCTGGCATCCAAAACAGAGAATATGTCTAGCTCTGATTTCATTCATAGGGTCAGTCCCCAAAGAAAGAGAGAGAAACAAACAGAAGAGAATTGCAGGAAGGGGCAAGGCTAGGGGGGAAATGAGCCTGCCTCTTCCAGTCCCCCTTGGGTTTGCCCTCACCTCCCACATACACTGTTTCCTGCATGTTAATCGCGCAGTCGGGCCTCCGATGGCATCTCTCTTCCCTTCCTTATCTTACTAGCTGGAGGAAGTGCTGCTGAGAAAGGGAAGCCTGCACACAGCGAGCACAACTAGCTGTCGATCAGCCTGTGCCCAGCTCTTGGCTGGCTTTGCGAAGAAAAGGGAAGGGAACTTGGCACAGTCTGTTCCTCTGCGCCTTCTACTATGTGGGTGCGCTGATCTCCCCGCTCTGAGGAGCGGCTGTGATTTTGGAAGTATCGCTCTGTGGCCTGGGCGTCGCTGTGGCTGCAGTGAGGGGAGCAGAGAACAGCCCTGAACCTGTCTTGCAAGACTCTGCAGACTCTTTGTGCCAGGCTTTTGCAATGTGGACATCTCTCCTGGGAGTGCACAGAAATCCCACACCCGATGTGCTATCACTGCCGCACCCCTCCTGAGCTAGGTTTAAATTGCTCTACGACTGTAAAGCTTTTGATGTTGGATTTAAGCCACTGAGCCCAGCTGAAAACCACTGAGTGGACGGTGTTCTTCTCTCCCTGTTACAGAAACCTTGTTCCATTTTACACAAGCATCTCTGAGACTCTTTTATCTGTTTAGATGTTAGAGAACTCTAGTGTTTCCCATAGTAAAGCACCTCTCGCTGCCAAATCCCTGTGAGTTGAAGCTAGTGGCCTGATGAAAGTCGAGTATAGCAGGAAAATGGCTGCTGTGTTGGTACTGTTTGCATCTTCATACCCTCTGTATGGTCACTCCGTATAATCTGAGTTAGACTTTTCTCCAATCTGTCTAATAGGATCTGCAGAGATGATTTTGCTAGCCCGTGGTATCTGGGTAACAGGCCAGGAAGAATTTTTCTATAGAAATGTACTGGCCTACTGATTCTTGAATATGAGCACTCAAAAGCTAGGGATAGTGGTCAAATATCTTAAAGTCCGCCAGATGACTCTGCCAGCAGAAAGAGAAGGATTAAAAAAAAAGAAAAGAAAATTGAGAAAGACAGGGACTTTGGTTGGACTTTACCTATCCCATTGACTTAAGGACCATGAAGAGAAGTAGTCTGGGAAGCTCTCCCAGCTGTGCAAAACGGTCATGCAGCCTGGTCCTCTTCAGAGGCAGATGGTTCTATGTGGGAGTGCTTTGACACTCTCACATGGAGAGTGCAGACAGATTGATTCCCATACAAGCACTTCTCCCTTTGAGAGAAGAGGTGGACGGGGAGAGGAGGGTCACCAAGGGCAAGCTCATCTCTTCATACTATTTTCTTCCTGTGTGCTCAAGGTGGACTACGACGTTTGTAGCAATTACGGGAACTGGTTATACAGCGCTGGTATCGGCAACGATCCAAGGGACAACAGGAAGTTTAACATGATCAAACAAGGCCTGGATTATGATGGCAATGTAAGTCCTTTTTGGCTGCCTTACAGTGAATAGCACAGCAAAGCACCACACGAGTGAAGCTTTCTGAAGGTTTCAACAGAGTGCTCATGTGAGAAATGTCTGGTGACGGCAGCAGTTTAGAACCCTAGGGAAGTGACTACATTAGACAGAACAGCTAAATCTCAGTTACAGGTCCCTGTTTTGTGTTAGAGTCTTACAGGGAGCATGCAAGGATCTCTTTACATTCGTATGTGATAGTCCCATGGAAGAGAGACCAATCTGCTGTGTGGATACTGTTTCAAGAAAAGTTCTTTGATCTCGCCAGTAGTCAGGCAGGTCTCACTGTTGTACAGGAAGATCTGACGTTTACAATCTGCTGCTGTCCCCAAAGAGGGTGGTGCTTTGTAATCCTTCCTTGCCATTGGGCTGTGTGGTTGGTGTTTCATCACCATTTCTTCTGGGTAACAGCCACATCCCATCAATATCTCATGCAACCATTTCCTCAAGTACAGAGCAGGTTCTTGAAGCACTCAGATGTGATGAACAGGAGAGAGCGAGCAGCTCACCTGGCACTGAGGGAGGGGCTGGAGATTAGATTAATGCCTATGACTTGTCTGACTCTGCAAGTGGTGCGAGCAGATAAATTGCGCTTTCCATGTGCTTAACTGCCGTTTATGTACTGGGTTGTGTACTGGAACCTGGTTACTGGGTTCTTAGCTTCGTGGCGAGCTGGCAGTGTTGCCTCCCTGCAGTGTAGCTGACAGAACATGGGAAGAAATCAAAGCTTGTCCTAGCTGGGGACACAGCAGTGGAGTTTATGGGAGACATTTAGGGTTGAGGGCGTTTCATCTTGTTCAAGTACACAGGTGTGCAGCTGAGCTAGTCATCCTGGTGTCCTTCACAGTCACTGGAAAGAAAAAACAACTTCTTGGGAGTGATTTCATTTCACCCTATCCTAAATAGCGCAGGTCGACCGTACCCAAAAAGCAGCTCTGTGTCTCTCCATTGCCTGCAAAGGGAGCTTGGGAGAGGAGCCCCAGCCTCAGTGTCTCTGTGTTTCGGCGGCACTAATTCTGGGTTGAGGAGTTTAACAGGAGGGGCTAAGGCTTGACAGAGGTAACTGAAGCTGTAGTGCATCCGCTTCTTCACTTAGAAATCAGGCTTCTTTCCTTCATGTTAAGGAAGACCCTTGCTGGGAAGCATGTACAGATCACTACTGAATGGATGCCATCGCTGTGGTTGTGTTTGCAGGGGGATTACGTCCGGCTGTGGGTGCCAGAACTACAGGGCATAAAGGGAGGAGATATCCATGCACCTTGGGTACTGAGCAGCACCTCTCTCTCTCAAGCGGGAATAACTCTAGGCGAGACCTACCCACTACCAGTTGTGACAGCCCCGGAGTGGAGCAGACATATCAGCCAGAAGCCTGTGAGTACTGGGAAGGTTTGGGGGCAGAAGAGGGGCAGGGGTGCAGGCAGTTGCTCTGTGTGAATTCGACTATGTTGTTCAGATATAAAGGGGAAAAAATGGTTTAATCAAAGTCACATTACCTCACAGAAGAGGGTGGTCCTGCTCTGCACAAGGACTGTGCAGCCAGGGTTATTGAGGTGTGTCTGTGCTAGTAAACTAAATACACCTGAGGCACAGGTCCAAGTACTGACCTGCTGTCACCCAAACTGTTAAATTGTTAGTGTATTCCCTGGCACTGTTTTAGCCAGGGCTAACCAGCACCTTCCAGGACCATGTCAGGGCGGTTTGAGGGTACCACGTGCCAAGGAGTGTCAAAAAAGACAGGCTTGACAAAGCCACTCTATGCCATATGGGCAAAAGCTGTACCAGGCTAGTTGGCTTTACAGCTATAGAATGGACCCATTGTGCTTTATTTCTGTTTTGTGTATAGCTTTTATTACTCAGGTTTTTTCCTCCTGCATATACATGTTGCCAGATATACCAGCTGTGGTGACTGATGCAGATTTTAGCTGCTTCTTTATCCCATCGGCCCTGCAGACCTAGCAAAGCTTAGAGAGAGCATGTCTGCCACTGCATCCTTCCCTGCCCTCCAGACACCACCAACCCTGGCAGCCCCATGCCAAACCCCAAGGGGTCGGATATCTGTGAAGGCTTCCACTGGCCTAACTACCACCTTACGCGCACAGACAGACGGGAGCCCAGCATGATGCTCAGTTCCCACTCTCTGTGTACAGTGGGAAGTAAAAACAACTGACTTCTTAACATGCTTGTGTGCATCCAAACTGGAGTTACTAAGAGCACTGAATATGGGGACTGGAGGCCCTTGGACTTGGCTTTTGGGGTCCTGGTCCTTTATAACGAGAGCAGATTAAGAACTGCATCCTGTAAAGTGTCAAGCATGTCAGACTTGCATCTGTTAAGTGGATTGCTTTTCTTGGAGGAGATAGATAAGGAAGGAAAGTGCTCTGTAGGTCTGGGTAGGGGTCAGTGGTGGTGGAGGTGGAAGGGAAGAAGGAAGGGGAGAACCAACACTATTGTTTTTTTCAAGGGGTTTTCAGCATTTTGTCTTTCCTCATGCATACTCCCTGCTTCCTCCCAAGTAAGGCTACTTTGTGGAGACTCAGATGTAGTTGTCATACTATGTTCAGTGAAGAATGAAATGAGTTTCCATGTGGGGTTTTAATTCCAAGGCCCAGTTCCAAAGTTCTCAGGCCAGATTCCTTTGACATGAGTGGAAAGTTTTACTGAAGCAAGGATGTCCACTTCCAGCCACGCTGTTGAAGAGCCTGGATTGTCACTCTTTGTTTAAGGGGGAAGGAACCCCTTGGTGAGGCACTAGTTTAATGCAGTGATGAAACCTGAATTAAA